TGTCAGCACAGAGCCCAACAAGGGGCTCGAACTCACAGACCGTGAGATCATGACCTGAGCCGAAGTCGGATGCTTAACCGACCGAGCCACCCAGGCGCCCCTCATCAGCAATCATTTAAAAGACTATCTTTTTTAAGACCAAAAGAATGCATTCAAGAGCCTCTGTGACTGGATCCCATCCTACCTTCTAGCAATATTTCCCATTACATTACTCTCAATTATGTACTGTTAACAAACCATTTCTCAAACATGTCCCATGCTGCTACTTCTCCTCCTTTGTACATGTTGGTGTTCTCTCCTTTTTCCCTTCCTCTCTATTACCTACCCATTCTTCAAAGGTCTATTGAGGACCCAGGTAAAGCCTTAAGTGAATCTCCTTCTCCATTACCCATGTATGTCCCATGGCCAGAATTGGTCTCTCTCTCAGCTGTACTTTCACAGAACTTTATTTATACTTACATCCTTTAAAGTATATATTATAGTCTTTCTTTTGGTATGGCTGTCTCTCAACTGTAAACTTCTTGAGGGCAGGGATATTGTCTTCTTGGGTTTTTATAGTCTCCATAGCAACTAGCACAATGTCTTTAACGTTGTAACTGCTCAATAAATATATACTGATTAAAATGAATACTCAGAAATGCATGTGAACATTTTTAAGAGAAATACAAGTGAAGTGACTTACAAGAGATTGTTTATACAAGGCTATATTTCAAATATAATTCTTGGTGGGAGGCGGGAAGAAGAGTGGAGGAGGAAAAAATAAAACATAAAATAAATGCTTACAGGCATTAGCCTTATTTGGCACTGTGAATAGGATTTATTTCCTAACCCAATCCAAAAAAACTTTAGGTCTTCAGAGAAAAAAAAAATTAAGGGGAATTTTGAGGAACTAACACCCCCTCGACATTTACAAGTTAAAAACACTATTTGAAAAAAAAAAATGGCCAAAAACTAACTAAATAAGAACCTCCCTCTCCCCAGAAAATAAAAAATCTGGAGGCTGTTTCTGGACGTTAGGAAATGTATATTCTCCGTTGCTTACCTGACGTTACTCCTGGGTTACGGCCCGACGCAGGCTGCAGCTTGCGCTCTGTTTTAGGGGGACACCTGTTCCCCCTCTTCCCCCCCGTCCTAGTAGGTAGAAAAACTTCTCAGCCACGCAGAGAGCACAAACTTCCTGATCCTTCGATGCAGAGAAGGAATAACACATCAGCTTCCTCAGGATCGCTAGGCAACCTACCTTGGTGTTTCTTCATTGGACCAATCAGAAACCGCCAAGGTTGAGCCCAGCCAATCGGAGCTTACGAGGGGAGGCTCTCCTCGGGCTATTGTGTTGCGTCCCGACAAACACCACCAAAAGGAGGCAGGTTTGGGTCAACCTGACAGCTGGTCAATCCAATGAAGTAACCTTGGTAGAAGAGAGGAAAGGGAGCTGAGATCCCCACCCCATTAAATCGTCCAATCAAAGCGTTCAGTAAGCTAGCACCAGCTGCCAATCAACAAAGGTTTTTGTTGGTCAACCTCTGTAGCAGGTGTGTTAACTGTAGCAGTGTATTCTAGGACAATTCGGTGAGATGTGTTGGGATCCAAAAAAGCTAAGAATAAATAAACATTTTAAAATTGGTTGTTTTCGACAATTACCTTGTCCCTAACTTTCCTGTTCCAGAAAAACCTGATCTGGGTCAGTTTGTGTAGGTTTATGTGGTTTACATTAAACAGGAATAGGTACATTTCTACCATAGCATACACCCCTACCTTCTCTATCAGCGCTTGTTACTGGCAAACCCATGGGTAATGTATGTTTTATAATACGGCTGCTGAAAACTGCAAGAAGCAAACAGACCAAGTTTTAAGTCTTCCTTTTCTAAGGCAAAGGAAACGGTCAAAGCTGAAACCAGGTCCCAGGTTTCTCACTAAAAGCACAGTATCTTTCATACGACCACTTAAAGATTCTGGGAAGTGTGCTCAACTCTTGCAAAGTATCATCTACCAAAATGATCACAGAATTAGTGCCTAAACATCTGCTAAATAAAAATTAGAAGCCATGAAAGAGTCTAGATGCTGAACAATATTTTATTTATGCTGCCAAAAATGCCAGACCTTAAAAATCAGTCCTCATTTTTGTCTTCAAGTACAAAAATGTTAAAAAGATAACCAATTTTTAATGGTATGTTATATATTACCATGTTAATACACTCTATTCAGTACTCAAAGTACTGAAGAATACGGTTTTAATGACAGTGACAAACAGTTAAGTGGTATAGTTTTAACGTAAGTAAAAAGTAAATTCCTACCAAAATTTAAGAACAAAATAAACGTTGTTTTTAAAATTGACTTAAAAGTTAATATACGTTTAAAGGCAGTATCCATCAAAATGGAAGATAGATCAATATTGAACAGATAATGAACAAAATCAATTATGACATTGGTACTTTTGATTTTACACAAAAGTTCTCTTGGATTGTCTCAGATAATATGATAGTCACCTAAAAATTCATTTTAGTGTACTAACTGCTTAAGACTATATATAATTTTTCACAGGTAGGGCAAATACACATTAAAATAGTAATACAGTGTCCTTTAGTTTAAATGTTGAGAACTTTGCAAACATGCAGAAGAATTAATTTTCATATATGTTCCTTTGGTTCACTAAACTTTCTTCTTTTTGGCACTGACTCTTGACTAGAAGTATCAAAGTGATGAAGGACCTGTCAAAAGAAAACAAGGATACTTTCCAGTTTACATGTTTTTAATTTTAAATTTTTTCACATCTGTGAAGTTTGTTTGTTCCTTCCTTGCCTTCTTTCTTTTTAAAAGTATACGTAGTGTAACTATTTCCTACTAAGATAGTGTATCTGAGTTGTTTAAAAGTAGGGTAAAGTTGGGGCACCTGGCTGGCTCAGACCAAGGAGCATGCCGCTCTTGATCTTGGGGTTGTGAGTTCGAGCCCCGCACTGGGTGTAAGATTTCTTAAACATAAATAAACAAACAAACAAATAAATAAATAAAGTAGGGTAAATTTTATTACTGATATATTTATATCTTCTGATGGCTGCTGAAAGTACACACTTGTAAAATGTAAGGTCTTCATTAGGGCTGTTGGAGAAATCAGAAAGATCTAACATTATGTCTTCAAAATATTTTGGAGGGATAAGAGGGAAAAAGATTTAATGAGCTGCAGAGAGAGAAACATTCTACCTTGGCACCATGTAAGGTTTAAATCATGTTTTCTTTTTTTGTATTCCTGGTACTTAGCAGTGCCTGATAGCTATTAGACATTCAATGTATAATCTTGAATGAATAGGAGGACAAATTAGGGAAATTCCTGAAAGTATTCCCTGAGTTACTCAACTTTGATTTTTCTGGAAAACAACAACAACAACAACAAAACCCCACCTCACTAATGATACAAATTGAATGATTTTGAAAAAAAATCAAGGCTTAATACATTGGGAAAAGTCAAACAACTTAATATATTAATGAAGTATCAGGTTATTTCATTCCCTTCTTAAGATATGTAAATTAAAAATACTATTAACTATATTTTTGAGATTACCCCTTTAAAGCAGTCTTATGTATTCAGTTGTCTAATTTTAACCTACTAATAATACTAAAAGTTATATCTGAAAATACAAATATTTATCTCAGAAATGGCAAACATATGATCTGACTTGGTACACAATAAGGTCCCAAATATGAAACAACTGTTAAAAAATTTAGGTCAGAAAAATTTTTCTTTCCCCTAAGGTACTGAGGGGAGATGCTATATTTTTAGGGAACAAGTTGATTTGGTAACTTATCTTATTTCTACTTCATTTTTGATCTCTAGGAAGCTCAGATCAAATTTCTGGCCCAATTTTAGCTCTACATAAATAAAATGGTTAGCTCTACATAAATAAAATCGCCTAAATATTCTTATATTTTCTCATTCTACCATATTTATTCATATTTAATTTTCTCATTCTATTCATATTTTTCTGGACACACTGATTTTTATTTTATAGATTCCTCCAACTATTTCAAATCATTGATGAAATCAGTATATATTTACATGGAAAAAATTAATAAACAACCATAGCACACCTTATTTAAAATCACCTCATTTTTTAGAACCAATTTATACACAAGATTTGGATATCAGTTCTCTGAGGTAATATCCAGGAATATTATCATATTTAGCATTTAAAGTTTAATCTATAGTAATGATAGTTTGATACTTGCCATTTTTTTCAATTTGTATATTATCATAAACTTACTGTTTTCCCAGATTTGAGTTGATTTCTCTTCCGATTTTCCTTAGAAGATTTTACTGGCTGATTTCCATTAGCCTCCACAAAGACAGAATAATCATCAATTGGTTATTTCTCAAAGAATAACCAACACTTGAAAAACAAGAGGCAACTAACTATATGCAGTTTTTAAAAAAAGCTTTCCTGAGATATAACTGAGATATAATTCAGATAACATACAGTTCATCTATTTTAAAAAGCATACAGTTCAATAATTTTAATTATATTCAGAGTTGTGCAACCATCATTGCAGTCAATTTTAGAATACTTCATCACTCCAAAAAGAAACGCTGAGGTTTGTTTGTTCCCTCCTTCCTTCTCTTCTTTCTTTTTAAAATTATACACAGTGTACCTATTTCCGACTAAGATAGGATACCTGGTTTCTTTAAATGTAGAGTATACTAATCACTTCCCTATTCCCCCTTTCTCCCACTAGCTCTGAGACATTCTATTCTGTCTCTATAGAAATTCCTACTCTGGACTTTCATATGAGTAGAATCAAATAATATGTGAACTTTTATCACTGGTTTCTTTCATTTAGCATGTTTTCAAGGTTTATTCAGGTTGAAGCATATATGGGTACTTCATTCCTTTTTATGGCTGAATAATATTCCATTGTATGGATATACTACATTTTATTTATCCATTTTGTCTATTGATAGATAGTTTTTTTCCACCTTTGGCTATTGTAAATAATGCTATCTATGCAGTTTTTATTTTATTTTTATTTGAGAGAGAGAAAGAGAAAGTGTGTGAGCCAGGGAGAGGGACGGGGGAGAGACCGAATCCTAAGCAGACTCCAGTGCTCAGCATGGAGCCCGATGCAGGGCTCTGTCTCGTGACCCTGGGATCACAACCCAAGCCAAAATCAAGAGTCAACGCTTGGGGCACCTGGGTGGCTCAGTCAGTTAAGCATCTGACTTTGGCTCAGGTCATGATCTCACGTTTTGTGGGTTTGAGCCCAGAGCCTGGAGCCTGCTTCGGATTCTGTGTCTCCCTCTCTCTCTCTCTCTCTCTCTCTCTCTCTGCCCCTTCCCCTCTCGTGCTCTGTCTCTCAAAAATAAATAAACGTTTAAAAAAAAAAAAAAGTCGATGCTCAACTGACTGAGCCACCCAGGTGCCCCATCTATGCAGTTTTTAAAATGAATATTGGACGATGACAAATTGTTAGCTGTCATATTACTATTCTCTAAAAGGACATGCTTTTCTTTTCTTTTTTTAAACTTTTTTAACGTTTATTCATTTTTGAGAGCATGAGTGGGGGAGGGGCAGAGACAGAGGGAGATACAGAATCCGAAGCAGGCTCCAGGCTCTGAGCTGTCAGCACAGAGCCCAAAGTGGGGCTTGAACTCACAAACCAGGAGATCATGATCTGAGCCGAAGTTGGATACCCAAACGACTGAGCCACCCAGGCGCCCCAGACATGCATATTTTCTGATGTGGGAAGTGTACTTTTCCATATAGCTTCCTTAATGTATATACAATTAAATATTTTCATTTCTTGCCCTTTTCTAGTAATAATGCAGTCATGATTCTCAAAAGCAGCAATACTTGGGCAGAGAGTTCATATACAAAAACATGAGCAATTTTATTTCTTCTTATTTTATTTTTTAAAATATTTATTTTTGAAAAAGAGAGAGAGAGAGAGACAGAGCATGAAGGGGGGTAGGGGCAGAGAGAGAGAGAGAGAGAGAGAGAGAGAGAGACAGAATCTGAAGTAGGCTCTAGGCTCTGAGCTGTCAGCACAGAGCCTGATGCAGGGTCTGAACTCATGAACTGCAGGATTATGACCTGAGCCGAAGTTGGATGTTTAACTGACTAAGCCACCCAGGCGCCCCAACATGGGCAATTTTAGAAGTGAATTTATGCTCCTAAAGTGTCTTAATGTCACATTACGAGGAAATCCTGCCTAATAATTTTTTTTTTAACTCTTACTTTTTTCCCTATATCCTAGTAAAGGATACTCATCTTAAGTAGAAGCTGCTTAGAAGACCATTTTGCTGCTAGGGGTACTAACTTTTGAAATTTTATCTTTTGCTTTCATCAGCATATTAGTTTGCATGCTGCCTTCTGCCAGTTTTAACTTCCTACTGAGAATATGGAAAAGGGGGCACCTAGCTGGCTCAGTTGGAAGAGCACGTGATTCTTGATCTTGGGGTCATGAGTTTGAGCCCTGAGTTGGAGAAAGAGATTACTAAAAAAATAAAATAAAAACTTAAAAAAAAAAAAAGAATGTAGAAAAAAGAACACCTAAAAATGGCACTATAATCAATGGTGTGCTGGTAAATGTTTAACAACCAGTTCTCTAGGAGTAACGAATCCTGAGTTGAGGCCTTTGCAGATTTCCATGCTGTGGATATTCTCATCATCTCCACTTTTAAGCTATCAACATGATGTCACTGAATGAGGAGTTGGGAAGAAATGCCAATATACTGTTAGGGTGTGCTATTTGTTTCCTGAGTTTGGATATAATATTTTATAGAATGGTTTTTCTTCATACCTGAACATTTGAGTAACTTAAAGGTTTAAAATAAAATATAAATCTCCATTTAATAAAAATAGAAAACTAAAATAAGGCAGTGGGTTTTCCCTTAAAAACATGAGATTCATTTTATGCAAAATATGTACAAAACATTAATTTTTATGTCTCATTAACAAGACAATCCATTTACAAGATAGAACATGAGAATATTTTGGCATTCTAGGAAATCTCCTTGGGAGACTGGATGATAGTGTCATTTCTCAAAGCCTTTCCTGAATTCTCCTCTTTCATGCACCTTCAATCAAAGTAACCATTCTTTCCTTTGTGCCTCCATGTAGCCTACTCAGACTGCTACTGTGGCCCTATATCACTGCTCCAGTTACTAAACTTTTAGCTAAGAGTAGGAACAATGTGTTATTCATATTATATCTCCAACACCTAGTAAAAGTACCTGACACATAAGAGGCGCTTACTAAATATTGGTCCAATAAAGAAAGGATTAAGAAGCAAAATAAACTCACACGTGGGGAAAAATTACAAGGTTAAAATGGAAAACAAATCTAAAGAGACACTTACCATTTTATTCTGAAAGATTTTTCCACTTCTTGTTTTGCTTTCAGATACATCAAGTTCAGATGTTTTACTGACTAACTGTTCAAACTAGAAAAGAAAATAATTACACAAAATCATATAACATAATAAAAACTTTCCATAACATAATACTAGGCTCTAAAATTCAGTAACATAAAATCTAGGGTATTATCTTAATGAAAACCGGTAATTTTGAATGGTTCTTACTGTCACAAAAAATGTAAAGGTAAAAATAATGAAACTGACCCTGTATACAGTCGATCATTCACTGAACTGAAAAAGTCCCAAATGATCATTGGGCACTACACTACTCTTCCAGAAGATAAGAACTTTAGCTCACCCTCATTGGAGAAAGGAGATGTGCAGAGGAAGGTGGACAATACTCAGTCCCATTATTTTCAAGTTCTTTTTATCTAAATGTTATATCAAGATTTTACTGTCTACAGAAAACAAAATTAAACACGTCTTCTCAAGGCAATAAAAATGTATTATATACTCCATTTGTAAGCACAAAAGGTGGTAGAATAATTGCTTAAGATTCTCTCTAGCTGAAATTCTGAGATTCTATGAACAATATTTAGGTTTACTACTAAATAAATCCACAAAAATTCAAAACTTTGCAATATATACTTTTCAAGTTTTGTTAAAAAGCATTCTTGAGACCTAATTTTATCCTAAAAGACCTTGAATATAATAACAAAACCTGAAAAATAACTAGATAACTATATAAGCAAGTCTTTTGGGGTAAAAAAAGCAAGTTAAAAGTGAGATGAATTATCAAATTTATACCTGACAATGAGAAATTGAAAGATCTGGACTTTCTTTAGATCTCATAATTTCATCTTCCTCACAAACTAAACTTGGTTCTGTTTAAAAAAAAAAAAAGTTAAAATGGTATGAAACAGAACTGGAAGTGAATCAATCTACATTTTCATTAACTTCTTACCTCCAAGTTCAGAAGATCCAGGGTTTTTTTCCTGCTCTTCCATTTTAGTTTCAATGTCAAAATCATCCTACATAATTACATGAATAAAAAAAATGGACACATTTTGAAAAGAAATTAAAACAACTGGGCAAAGTATTTATGAACAAATTTGTTTTATGAAGGTTAAATATAACATAACAGTATAACTACCTTACGTTTGCTAGAAATAAAGTCCTATAATTACTATAACAAGGTACAAAATTTATCCAAAGTAAAAACTACTACTCTTTTTGGCAGGGTTGCTTTAAGAACAAATATACAACTTTCTCAAAAATACATAATGGCTCTAAGAATCCTTAGTTCTTACTATTATCGGAGGGCACTGTGTTAGACATGTTTACACAAGCATCATTGCTGTATCTCTGGAATTTCTTTTTTTTAATTTTTTTAACGTTTATTCATTTTTGAAAGACAGAGACAGAGCATGAGCGGGGAAGGGGCAGAGAGAAAGGGAGACACAGAACCCGAAGCAGGCTCCAGGCTCTGAGCTGTCAGCACAGAGCCCAACGTGGGGTTCGAACTCACGAACTGCGAGATCATGACCTGAGACGAAGTCGGCCGCTCAACTAACTGAGCCACCGAGGCGCCCATATCTCTGGAATTTCTATACATATGTTAGCACACACTGAATATGCCCCAATCCTCTTCAGGAAGTTAGTGAAGAATAGATCAGTCATGGTACGGTAGAAATAGCAACAAGTTTAATGTCTACTTTGTAATTATACATTTTTTTGTGACATATGTCAAAGAGCTTTAAATATTTTAAAGAATGCTACATAAATCCCAGCATTATTTGTTTATAAAGCAAGACTGGGATTTAGGTTTTGAGAAGACTTTTTCTTTGACTAAACTGTTTGAAAATTGAATTTTCTATTTGTAAGGATGTGGCAGAGCCTAAATCAGAAAAGTCAGTCTCTATATATAAGTACTAAGATCATAATTTAGAATTAAATGAGATAAGACAAAACAACAAAGATTACATTAAATAACAATCATGTTAATGTGGAAGATTTTCTGGGAGTAAGGTAACAATAAAAAAAGGCCTTTTTTATATTTCTATTTATACTTCTTATACTTCTAGCATACTTCTATTCAAAACTGAGAATGTACACAGTAAACCTAAGTCTGGTAGGCACTGGAGGATTACAAAGATGAATGACACTTTTCCTGCCTTCTAGGAACTTCCAGCCTGCTTTAGGACAGTGATTTTGCAGGCCCCAAATGAATTCAAGCACAGGTTTAAATGAGCATCTAGTAAGGGTGTTGTAGGAAGGATTCCAACATTAGTTGGGGGATTAGAGTATTTCAGTGGTTTGCAAATTATGCTCCAGACCAAGGGGTTTCCTCAGAGTACACTACGAGGGTAGTTGAAGTGGTGAGTGGCTGGGCCTCCAGGACTTCATTCAGAATAGTTGTTTCTTTTAAACATTTTTTTTTTAATGTTTATTTATTTTTGAAGGAGAGGGAGACAGAACATGAGCCAGGAAGGGGCAGAGAGAGGGAGACACAGAATCTGAAGCAGGCTCCAGGCTCTGAGCTGTCAGCTGCAGAGCCCAATGCGGGGCTCGAACTCATGAGCTGTGAGATCACGATCTGAGCAGAAGTTGGACACTTAACTGACTGAACCACCCAGGAGTCCCAGAATAGCTGTGCTTTAAATTTCTGAGAATAATGTTTGCACCAAGATAAAGAGTTTTAAAATGAAAAGCCTATACCTTTCTTATGGTCCAGATCAACCTTGAGTTTATGATTATAATACAATATTTATACAAATATTAATGAGAACTATTAGTCTTTAGAATTGAGTCAAACATTTGTTACTATGGTACTTTATAACTCTTTAAAATGTACTGACACTTATATAATGCTCCTGTTCATCTTCTCGATCATCTTTGTCCCTGAGAATTTTCTGAAGTGGTGTTTTTAATTGTTTTGGTGATAAAATAGCTGAATCAATATTTTCCATTCGTTCTTTTTCAGTAGTCACTTTTACTTTGAAGGTGTGAAAAGGTGTTGGAACTTCTCCCACATTTAAGTACATAGGCTCCCCTTCAAATATCACTCCTTCACAATCACCATCCTTAAAACCGGGAGGCTGGTAATCTGGGGGTGTAACTGCAAAAAGTATAAACTATGAAGTTTATGAAACTGAAGAGAACATAATATAATAATAATAACATACAAAGATTGAAAACATTTCAAATAGTATAGAAAGGCAACCTTTTTTCTTCTTCACTTGACTGGCTGTATGACTTTGAATAAATTATTTATCATCCCTGATTTGGTTTTCTCACCTATGAAATGCGAAAAATAATAGTATCTACCCCATAGGGTAATTGTGGGTATTAGATGAATTAAAGTATATAAACTACTCAGACTAAAACTGGCACATTCTAAGTATTCAATAAATGTTAGTTGTTATTACTATTGTTGCTTTATGTTCTTCTAGAAGATATTATGCATGTAAAATATATATGTCATATATGTATATATCCTTAACAAAACACAAATAAGATCATACTGTTCTATACCTAGATGTTTTTAACCTTTCTTTTTAATCCATTTGTATTATTTCTTGGATAAATTAACTTAATCAGCACATTTTTTTTTAAGCTTATTATTTATTTTGAGAGAGACAGCGTGAGTGGGGAAGGGGCAGAGAGGCAGAGACAGAATCCCAAGCAGGCCCCAAGCTGTCAGCCCAGAGCCCAGTGCAGGGCTTGAACTCACAAAACCACAAGATCATGACCTGGCCCAAAAGCAAGAGTCAGATGCTTGGCTGACTGAGCCACCCAGGTGCCCTAGCACATTCTCTATAATAGCTTGCATGGTATCCTTATAAACATATAACCTTGCATGTTTGTGTTAAATATATTCCCAAAACACTTTTCTAGGTATAGAATTTCTGGATTAAAGAGAATGTGCATCTAAAATTCTGATACTGCCAAAATGTCCTCTAAAACTCTTGCACCTACATACATTCCCTTGAGAATTTATGAAAGTGCCTACTTTTCCCTCACACCCTTGCCAAGAAATGGTTTACAAGTTTTACTGCTCTGGTAAGTGAAAAGTAGCATCTCACTGTTTTATTTCTTTAATTATGAGTGAGGTTGTACCTCATATGGGTATGTTCATATCGCTGGAGAAGCTTATATACATTTGAAAGTCTATTTTTTCTAATCTTTCTTTTTCAAATACTTACATTAAATGAATATTTTATAATTTCAAAAAATATATTACAATTTAGGTCTTAAAATCAGTTAGGATGGAAACCAACTGTTTCAATACTAAAACATACAGGTAACAAGAGAACGTGTTACAAATAATACCTTCATCGTAGTAAAAAAGTTTCATAGTCAAACAAACATCATTAGGTAAAGGTCCCAGATTTTGCATTAGAATATAAATCTTGCGAATGAGGAGAATACTTGCTTTCTTGGTGTCAGCAGATGACATGTTGGAATCGTTGCTTTGGTTTTTACTACAAGAGAATCACACATGAATTTCTTTTATGACATGTATGGCTTCTAGTAACTTCATATTTTACTATTTGAGATTCTTATTCCTATTATAGCATTAAGTTTTTAAGTTGAAAGTTACCATAAATGTGTTTTAATGTCACTATTATGAAAGATTTAATATCATCAATATCATTATTAATAACAGTATAAACTAATAATTTTATTTAATATGCATCTTATATAAGATGTTTAAAGGAAACAAGTGATGGATTTTAATTACATTTCTAATCACTCAAGCATACAACAGCTTTCCTACCCTTTGGCTCTGTTTCACAATTAAAATAAGCCACAGAATTTGGGCTTGCAGCTACTCAAAGGATGTTTTTACAGCCACTCCTGGATGGTTAAATTGGGGGGGTTTGAGACATTTCAGAAGTACTTCAGTACTTCTGAAGTTTAGCAATATAGTATTAATATGAATAAGTGGTAATCCGTAATACAAAAAGAAAACTATAAAACCATACCTTATGAAGTCCATGACTGGTCCATTATTACTGTACTTGAACTTAAATTGGTAACATTCTGAAATTGTCTTAAATAGAAAACATTGCAGTTATGTATCTGATTTATAGTACTGGCAGCCAAGTAGCTATATACAGCTTTTCTATGACTCTTCATGCTGATTTAGTAATTTTTCTGCCATGTTAACCCTTATTGGTCCACTGAAATCTTCAAATCCTAATAATTCCCTTGGTTTGGGATTTGGTGCTTCAGTCTTGGAGAGATGGTCATTCCCCTACTAATTGCAATGGATATCATATATATCAGAAAGGAACTCCTTAGCAGATAGGTGAGAGGGGCAGCATTATCTCTAATTCTAGCAGAATGGCTCAAGCACAGGGCTTAAATCCTTGCTATACTGTGACTAAGAGCAAGTCATTTATTTATTTATTTTTTTTAATTTTTTTTTCAACGTTTATTTATTTTTTATGACAGAGAGAGGGCCGACAGAGCAGGGGGGAGGGGCAGAGAGGAGACACAGAATCGAAACAGGCTCCAGGCTCTGAGCCATCAGCCCAGAGCCTGACGCGGGGCTCGAACTCACGGACCGCGAGATCGTGACCTGGCCGAAGTCGGACGCTTAACCGACTGCGCCACCCAGGCGCCCCAAGAGCAAGTCATTTAAACCTAAGTTTCAGTTTCCCCAACTAATAAAAGGGGTTGAAAATAGTACCTATCTCATTGGTGGTTATGAATATTTGACAAACAGGATAATTTATACAGAGCACTTAATAAACTGCCTGGCATGCCAACATTCAATAAATATTAGTGAATCAACAAAGTTGCTCTTTTACTGAAAGTAAAAAATGTTCAACTATATAAAACATCTGAAACTAAATGAATATTTTCTGAGCAGTTAGTTTCCGAACAATCAACTAATTCACAACATTTGCTTACGTGATTTTTGTCACCATGGACATATATTAAGCATTAACTGCAGGCATGAGTATCAAAGAAAAGACACTGCCAGCCCTGTCGAAGCTTTTTTTTTTTTTTTTAATTGCTTTCTTTGTATTTCAGTGCTCACATAGGAATGGGGATTAGCTCTTTCTTTTTAAAAACAGCTGCTTCTCCATGACTGAATGGAACACTATAACAGCTACTGTGCAATGGTTAAGCACCAAGGTCATGAACTGGACTTCTTAGGTCCAAATTCTTGTTCTGCCACTGTGACCTCTGGCAAGAAACCTTGTATCTAGGTTTCCTTATCTAGAGCGGAGATGATAATGGTAGTTACCCCATGAAGGTTATGATGAATAAATGAGATAATGCATATAAAGCTTCAAGGAACAGAGCCTAATAATAGTAGGCACTCAACAGATCTTTCCCCTTTGTTTCTTGTTTGGTTTTCCCTGTCATTTCTTGTAATACCTTCTTTAATTGTCAGATGAACAGGTGGATGTGACTGAATTGGGATGAATATTCAAAGTGCAAGTGTTAAGTATCTTATTTTTGTCAAACTCAACCTCTTTCAAAATTCCATAAAAAGAATATTATATTGAAGCAGAAATCAGGAGTTTTAGGTTATTTCTATTGGTTTTTGGCTTAGTGGCCAAGGGTCAGTCACACAGTCTCTTTGGTAGTAAGTGTATCAATCTGTTTAAAGATAACAATACAAGCCTTGTCTTACCTCAAAAGGCCTTTACGAGGTTCAAATGGTTCAAATGTGAAAATATATGTGAAAGTGTATTGATTAAAGCACAAGTAAAAGCATAGGATATTATTATAATTTTATGTTATTTTTAGATTTTAAAGATATTATGTTTCTTTACTAACCTAAGTACACCTACCTGAGGGTCTTCTGGATTGGTGTATACCTATTTAAAAATAATTTATAATTGAGTTATTTATATAAGGCTAAGTATTCAAGGAGAACTAAATTGGATATTTAGATGAAACTATTAAATGGATTCAGCAAAACAAAATACAAAATAACCTCCCAGAATATTAATTTGTTACTTTCCCCCCCACTGAATAGATCATTTACTTGAATAAAGTGACATAATCATTTGTTGGTTTTAGTGTTATTTAAATAAGCAAGGCCAAATTTGACGTCTTTAAAAAAGAACATACAATTTAAAAATACTTACAGCTAGAACAACCATCCTTAGCTGAAATATAACAAAGAACAAAAATCTTACTTTTACTCCATAAAATATTTTTTCATGATGGATCATAAGAATTCTTCGCCTTATTTCAACATTTATTCCTAGTAAGAAATAACCTTGCAGAAAATATGATGTATATAAAGCAATACATTATGTATCTTTCTCTAGTCCCCCAAATATCTCTTTCTTTTATTTTTGAGAAACCTGTGCACACACAAGCTGGGGGAGGGGCAGAGGGAGAGAGAGAATTTTAAGCAGGTTCCATGCCCAGATCTGAGCCAATGTGGGCCTCAATCTCACAACTGTGATATAGTGACCTGAGCTGAAATCAAGAGTTCAACGCTTAACCGACTGAGCCACCCAGGCACCCCCAAATAGATATTTCTAGTTGACTTACTAAAGGTTGAAATTCATGTCACTGACTTAAGCAAACATGGGTATTTCTGCCAGTTACAAGGAAAATATATATTATGAAATAACACATTAAACCTTACCAATGTTAGAACTAATTTTGAAAAGAGAAAAGTAGAGTTCAGGACTCTGTTCATTCAATAAAGGGAAGAAGCTTTGGAAACCAGAGGAATAGAGAATGACAGGAAATCACCCACTAAAGTAATTGGACAAAAATCTAAGAGTCATCCTTGATTTGGATCTTTTCCTTATACTCCACAACCAATCTATCAACAAGTCGAATCAGTTCTACTGCCAAATATACCCTGAATCTTTTCATTTATTTCCTTCTCTGCCTCTTGGTCTAAGCCACAGTGATTTTTCACCAGTACTGCATTAACGGACTAAGCAACACTCTCCTTGATTCCCATCTTATTCTCCTTCCACAGTATATTGTCTTGAAAGTAGCCACAGTGATTTTTAATTTAAAATGTAAATTAAATGATGTTACATTTCTACTCAAAACCTTCAAATGGCACCTAAAATATAATTCAAACCCCTCACCTACATAGTCCTGAAAGCTCTGGCCCTGCCTGTCTCTCCAGGCTCCTCTAAACGACTCCTCCTCCCCCACTGCTCATTGCATTCCATTCACACTCGCTTTCTTTTTGTTCCTTGAACTCTCTAAACTTCCCTCAACTCTTTGTATTTGCTCTTCTGCCAGGAATATTCTCTCCCAAAGTCAATGCCTGGCTGGTTTCTTCTCAGTCAATTCTCAGCTTAAATGGCACCTACTCAGAGAAGCTCTTATCCTATCGAAAGTTACCCCACCTCTCCACCTGCAACACACTTTTTCTAAATATTTTATTGGCATTTAGCACAATTGTAAATTATCTGATTTACTTGTTTTATTGACTGTTTTCCCACTATAGAAAGGGCTCTTTTTGTTTCGCTGACCACTGTTAGTTCACCCAGCTCCTACCTGGAGTATGTGTCTAGCACATAGCAGGCACTTAATATTTAATGAGTATTAAATACTTAATGCCTTAATAAGGGAGGTTAGTGACCATGGATAAAACTATATCTTTTTTACATTTTGTTTAGAGATGGACTTCTTTATATATGTTAATATAAACATAAGTATACAAAAAGGCTTATAATCTACAGTAAACCCTTATTAATCGAAATTTCACCTATTTATGATTTGTGACGATTAAAAAAAATTTTTTTTAACATTTATTTATTTTTGAGACAGAGAGAGACAGAGCATGAACGGAGGAGGGTCAGAGAGAGGGAGACACAGAATCCGAAACAGGCTCCAGGCTCTGAGCTGTCAGCACAGAGCCCGACAGGGTGCTCGAACTCACGGACCGCGAGATCGTGACCTGAGCCAAAGTCGGCCGCTCAACCGACTGAGCCACCCAGGCGCCCCTGATTTGTGACAATTTAACCTAGACTACACAGAAATTTATTTTTGAATTCTTATGAAGAAACAATTTATTAAATTATTAGTATAAACAAAATTGTAGAAGGCATGTGAAACTAATAAACTATTTTAAAAGAGTTTTTTTTAATTTATTAAGTTTTTGTAAGTTAATAAGTGTTATTATTAACACAACCAAGTGTTAACTAAAACTGGTTTGGCAAAATTTGTTAAGCATTAATTCTATCGGCTTTAAATTGAGTTGAATATTAGTCTTTAAAATATTCAAATGTTCAAACTTTTCAGTAATTTGGGCTGGCCTATGCCCAAATTAGTTTAAATTAATGTTCTACTTTGTGGCTATTGCTGTTACATTTATAGAGTATAAGCTGTAGAAAAAAAGACAATGAGATACTGACTTACGTATTTTTTTTGTAAAGCATCATAGCATCCTAGCATCCTGAAAAATAATGAAATATTCATTTTTAGACCGAATGCTTTTCCAGAAAATAATTCTTTTAATAAGTCTCCATATTATCTCATTACTAAATAATACAAAATTTTCTTATTAAAGCTCCCTTCTTGGGGCATCTGGCTGGCTCAGTTTGTGGAGCATCCAGCTCTTGATCTCAGGGTTGTGAGTTCAAATCCCACATTTGGCAAGGAGCTTACTTAAAAAAAAAAAAGCTCCCTTTTTTTAAGATTTTATTTTATTTTTTAAGTGTATTTATTCACTGTGTGTGTGTGTGTGTGTGTGTGTGTGTG